CCGCCGCCCGAAACCTCTGTCATTTATGGGATGTTTGAAAACAGTAGAACATGGCGCTATTTAACCGATTGAATAAAATTTTCAAAAAATGTCAACGAAGTTGATTTTCAAGCGTTGTGTCGAGCAGCACGATGGCTAACACTTGCCTGATACACTTTTCGGTCCAGGCCCATTGGAAGGACCCTGTGGCTACACACCAGAAAGGGGCGATTGTGAGCGTCCTTCGGTACTGATCCCATAAGGAATTCAAATCAGCTACATGTACCGCTTTCAACAAACCAACGGATTTCACCGATCACAACACTTCACTCTTTCCTTCTTTCATTCGGCCTATCCTTGGATCCTCAGGTTTAATGACGACAACCATCACGTGATCGACCTGTTAAGCATCCTCCCGAAACACAAACCAAGGAGTCAAATTGACGAAGTGGTTCTGCTCAAACCAGCGGCCCTACTCAGGGCCACCATGAACAATATCCTCTCCATCAGAGCTTATTTGACTCTGCCCTAAAACCCAACGGCAATTCACAGGACCACATAAGGTAAAAATTCAACGGACCTACTCAGAGTTACTCAAAACGAACTCTCGACCCAGACTTCCAATATCGAAAGCATATCACGCGCGAAATGCAGTTATTCGTCGCATGCTCTCAAGGACCACAACATCGATGTCGCTGCTTTACAAGAAACGCTTTACAGTGACGTCGAAGTTAAGATATCACGTTACCCGATCTGTGACTGGATGATCATCGCCACAGTACATCACCCAAAACACGGACTCGCCACTTCGTTGGGCGAGGATTGGATGTCACCTTGTTCATCTGGCAAAATTGGCATCTGCAGAGGACTTCCATTCACGGTGATTACGATCACATGTAAAAAATGTACATAGGATAGAAGATAAAAAACATTTAAACCGGAAAAACGCGTATGCGCTCCCAGTATTTTCGTCAGTTTTCTGTTTCTTCTCGTCGATGAAGCCTGCTTTCAGAGAAAGAATGCCAAACTTACTGAGAATGGTATGCTGAGCATGCGGTCTAATGACTGCTGATGATTTTGTAGTTTCTTGTGATCTTCTTTATTTGTAATAGAACAAACCAGTGTGTAAGCCCAATTTTCATGACCAAATGAACAGCTCTTTCGAGGGCACATATGTCTTCCTTTCAAAATCCGCTCACTGCTAAAGACTGAACCGCAGGAGGGCCAACATAAGCAATATTTTATGCCATTAACCGTGATTCCAAATGATTTCATACCTAACTGGCGATTGCGATTGCATGGGCACCACAGGGCGCAGTCAACGGTGTGTAGTCGCCCCTCTAATACCAATGTGATTAACTACTCCAAATACCGTCTCAAGTACTCTAAAACCAATGATGCGAAGTACTTCTGACTTACGGCGTCGAGTACTAATTGACGTGTAACGTGAAGCTTTGCTAAAACTCTTCCAATCAGATAGAGAACTGCTTGTGCGCGTTGCATCTGAACTCACGTCAAGACGTCAATCCTACCCAATTAAGTGCTTGGTCAATAATCATTAGTTAATCGATCAGGAATGACATGAATCATACATGGTACAAAGAATCCGCCGTATCCTGGTCGCACGCCGCACTGCTGATGATGCGAGTGATTGCCGTCAATTTCGAGTTGGTGGCTAGTGTCGCGCAATGATGATCAATCCCTCGGCCGTTGATCGGATAATTAGATTTTGTCATTTTCATTATTAGCTTATTAAAGAGCGCTACGAGCGACTGGATGATGTGCTGCACTCACCGGAAACTCTCAGACGTCATCAATCACCAATCCGGACGGCTAAACATCACATATCACTGACTCGGCCCCAGTCGCATCGTCCAGTTTCTCGACAAAATGAGTGAATTTTTCTGAGCGATTTTTTTTTGTTTCCGATTCGCTTTTCCCTCAGCTTGTACAACAATGGCAGCGGCAGAAGATACTGTATTTTAGCCTAAATTACTTCGCATGATGTATTTTTGTCGCTCAACGCCAAAGTATAATTTTATGAACATAGACAAACCATCTGTTCACCGTGGGGTTCGCAGATCCGCAGATTCGCCAAAGCGTTCCATTTACAGTTGTTCTTGTTGTTATTACGGCTTTCACCGACAGTGGTGCAGCCTGCTCCAGTGATTTACACCCCTGTCGATCACGTGATATGTACGCGAGAACGCTCAGCCCGGTTTTCTTCTACCGTTTGCATCCGCACACTTCTGGCCCAAAGGGAAATTCAGCGTAAGTTCTTACAGTCACTCACCAGATCTTTTCAGCGCCATCCATAGATCAAGGTGGCGTTTCATGCAATGGTAGGGATATC